GTTGTTTTTTTTTTTTATATATAATAAAAAAAGAAAAAAAGAACAAAACCTAATTCCGACTTCTGCCTCCTTTCTGTGGTATGTTCTGGCAGCTTCTCTTGTATGCTTGTTGCCTTCACCATTTGAAGGGAGTTTGACCCCCGATAGTGGGTAGGCTTTGGCTTTTAATTTGTGGGGTGGGGTTTTTTTGGGGGCAGGGGTCTTGCAATCCCTGTGTGCTCTCCAGAAAATAGGGTTTTGCAGGTGACTCTTGATTCTCTGGTGGATGATGGTCCAGCTGTGCCTGGAGTGGGGTTCTGCTTGTATGGGAAAGGGATTGGGCTTGAGGGTGTCCATAGGAAGGGTTCTAGGGTAAGCGCAGGTGTTTTTACAGCTCCCCAGACTCCTCCACACAAGTTATACATCTACAATCCCACAGAAAATGAAATTCCAGCAAACTTCATGCAAAAAGAGGCTTTGTGGAAGAGGACCCTTTCCCACTCTCCCTATGGAGAAAATGCTGCTCATCCACCTTTAGTATAAAACCAGGTATTCAGGAAACTAAACGAGGTAGTGGAAATATGTCACATTGTTCCCCAAGTCCTTTCTTCAGCTTGTGATGCTACTTCCCAGCTCCCCCAGAGGTACCTGCTCCAGGGGTGGATGCTTTAACCATTCCCATCTTTAAATATGGATTAACATCACACAAGCATACTTCTGGGCTGCTGAGGCTGTTCCTGCCATCACATTTTTATGGACCAAGTGGTCTTTTGCATCTCCCTTCTGGGGAAAGTTCAAGGTAGCACTTTCCTCACCAAGGCCCCCAAACTGCACGATTTCTCTGTGCCTGTGCTGGGGAGCCCCATACCAGGGTGGAGCATCACTGGAGCAGAAGCAAAGCAGACACCGTGTCCTTTCCTTTGACCGCAGCATGACCATGGGGACTTTGGTTGGAGAAGGGGTACTGCAAGCAGAAGAAACCTGTGCTGCTCTGGAGCCCCAAAATATTTGGGCTTTCTGCTGATTTGGATGAAGGGGGGGCAGCTACTGTGGTTTCTGCCTTCCAAGAAAATGTTACAGAGGAAAAAATGGATTACACCTAAATTAAGGAAACTTCTGTGAGGGCATTTGCACAGAAGAAGGGACAAAACATGGTAATGCTTGTTTTGAGCTTCTCTTCTCTGATGCCTCTGAACTGTGTGCATCCTCAACACTGGAGCCCTGTTCCTCCAGAGCCCCTTTTCTCCTGGGGCACGGAGGAACTGGCAAAAGGGAGCATGGCTTAGTTTTGGCCACCAAACATCACCAGCAGCCAAGGCAATAGCCGATGGGCCACCAGGTTTTGTCCTGGGGCTAAACACCTTCTCCCTGCGCCTCACAGAGCCTCACTGATGCAGAGATATGGAGTACCAGTTGTGTGTTCCTGCAGAGGATGCCGAGAGGATGCCATCTCCAGGCTGGCCATCAGGGTGATAGCAGGAGCAGGCTTCCATCCTTTACTTCTCCAGCTGCCTTGAACATAAGTTTAGGACAGGAGCTTCCCCTCCTCAGCTGAGAAAGCATTTATCCACTCATTTCACGATTAGACAGATGAAAACAAGGTCAAAACAACAAACATTGTGCTGCAAAATGGCTTTTCAGATGACTATTGAAAATATATATTTGAAAAAAAAGCTTAGGAGTTAGAGGGGAAAATCCTTCCTTTTCCCTAGACACTGTTTTCTGACTTTTTGCCTAAAGCCTCCTTGCTGAGTCTGCTTTGCAGTTACCTGAAGACGACGTAGGGTAGAAAGACCTCCTCTTAAGGCTGTGGAGCTCTTGCAAATTAAGCCTGACCCCTTCAAAAAGCTGAATTTACTACTCATGTGATTATATAAAACTTTTTGACTTTTAATCTTAGCCTCGCAGGAGGAAGCAAATCTCTTTTTTGTGTTTGCTCACACATCCTTAAAATGTGAATGATGATATAGAAACGTTCACTGGATACATGAAAATGCAAGTGTTGGCCCCAGAGGGTTTGCTGGGCACATCCGAGCACCAGGAACCGCTCCGAATGAGGCAGTCAAAAATAGCACCAGCTTTTTGAAGTGCCTGGTGGTTGCGCTCCCTTTTAATCAAGCATCAGCTTAGGAGACAAGGCTGCTCCAAAACGATTAATATATCTGCTCACAGGCCAGGCTTTTCCCCGTAACTGAATTTTAAGGCAATCAAAATAAGATTAGCCACAGCTCTCTTCAAATATGGCCTGCAGCAGATGAGCTAATCAAGATCACACTTGCAGCATCTTTTAACACTAGGCTGTGCAAGCCCAATTACGGTGAGGACATGAGGGCTATTCTCCTCCTGAAAGCCCCGTGAAGCAGGTGTGTCTGGTTGGGTTGATTCTGCTCTTTCAGAGTGCCTTGATGCTGCTCCAGTAGCCACATAGCAGTCCCTCCCTTTTTTTTCTTCTGGTATTCAGTGCTATTTGATCTTCCTAGATGACCCTTTCTGGTAGGTCAGCCTTTGCATACTTCTGTAACTTCCAGCCCTGGCTGTGACTGCCTATCCCTTCTAGAACAGAGCTTCTGGAGGAGAAATCTTAGGTGAGTAAGGTTTTGCTGAGCTGTCTTTTGGATGCCATTACCTGGGGGAGGGGGGAGAGAGGCAAAATTGTTTTAATTTCTCTGAGTCCATGTTCTTCTCCTTTCCTGGTTTGCTGATATTGGCCTATTTCTCACTGTGGAGGATGGGAAGGGATGGTCCCAAGGAGGAAGCCAGACACAGACTGCCAAGGGGCTGATTTGTAGAGCTCTGCAAGATCTTGTGTTATCAGGGTAGCCCCATTTCACTCTCTTTAAGTGCCTTGTGGAGGTCCAGAATATCCTCTGCTGTGGTGTTCAGAGAAGTCCTGGCTGAGATCCATGCTTGCTGTCCATCACCTGTGTTGTGAACTGGTGCAGTGCCCTAGAAGAGGGGCTGGAGGTCCTTTGCCCTCTTGAAGGAGGCCACAGCTTGCTCTGGAAAGGTGCTGGACCCCAGCCCACTGAGAACAGGTCAAGTGTGGCTAGTTGGTAGTTTCTTGTGTGAGCCAGATGAGAAAGCTGGTGGAGCTGGGAGGGGAATCCTGCCATCATGGATGTCAGTAATTTGGCTTCAGCTATGCCAGGATTTCATCCCGCTTGTTCGGTTACTGATTAAACTGAGGACAGCCGCTTAGGAAAGAAGTGGGAGCTCTTGAAAGGCATGATGTGCTTAGGTTTGTCTGGCTTCCCTGGCCAGCTGGATGCAGGGTCAGGCCTGGGGTGACTCATGAGTGGGTCCTCCACCCAGAGCGGCTCTCCTGGCTCTTCAGCTGAGATTGACCACCTGTGTGCAGTGGATAGTTTCACTGTGCTGGCTCTTGTGGCTTTTAAATTGAGTCCTGACTCTCTTTTCTCGCTGATAGAGGAGCCAGTCCATCTATAGGATTTGCAGTATGGAGAGACAAATAGCTTTTCCTGAGGTCTTGTAGGTTGTGTGGGATATCAGTCACTGAGTAATGACCCATCTGGATGCCCAAAGGTGTTGCTTGTTGATTGCCTGGCTCATGAAGAAATGGTGATCTCAGCTCACTCCTTGTGACTCTGCTCAGTAGAGCATCAGTAGGAACCTGCTTGGATGGGGAGAAACCCAGGTGTGGAGGGGAGTTTGGGGGAAAATCCACGTTGTGTGTCTCCAGAATGAGCACCAGGGATGTA